TTTACCTTCCCTAGCTCTTTTCATATTTTTTTAAACAGCGGAAATATGTTTCCTGCCCCGTGAAAAATACAGTATCATTAGATGATTAGATTTGTAACATTAGTGGAACAAAAATAACGCCAGCATTGTTGAGTAAAAGGCTGAAAAACTCTTGATCATCAGGTTTTTTTAAAAGCTTCTATTACACTCTCGTCGTAGTTACTAGATCAATAAAAATGATAACAAAACGTTGCTTCCTAAATTAACATCAATCCTTTTCTTTTCAGTTGATTAAATGGGTTTTTTAAAAATATTGGATTTCAGTTTAACGAACGGGAGTTTTCGTATGCCTCCATGCGTTTAAGCATAACTAAGGCAAAAGCCATCCATGCTTATCCTTAAAACAATTTTTGAAATTCTGATACTGAATTATTCAGAGTTAGATGTTCTCGTGCATTTTGTAAATTGCTATCTATCTATGTATGCATATAGGTATCTATTTATCTATCTATCTATCTATCTATCTATCTATCTATCTATCTATCTATCTATCTATCTATCTATCTATCTATCTATCTATCTATTTATCTATCTGTCTGTCTGTCTGTTTGTCAAATCTGACCAGAAAGTGGTTAAATAGAAGAACGAAGAGACAGATAAATAAATAGTTCAGAGAAATAGAAATCGATATTTTTTTCGGATGATTTTTTAATTCATTTTCAACCTTCAGCTCTAAATGACATGACATGAACATACATTGTCAGGGCATAGACCAACGTTACATTGTGTCGTGCACCAGGCATCCTGCTCGGTGGGTGACATATGCCATACCATCTGAACGACTTATGTGTTGATAGATAGATCAATCCATAGATAGATAGACAGATAGATAGACAGATAGAGATGTATAGATCTGTGAGCATTGCTTCTTTTCGTTTGAGTGTTTGTGTGTGTGTCTGTGTATGTGGTTGTTATGGGTGTGGGCGGGGGACGGGGAGGGGGGAGGGGGGATCACAAAGTCAAAATCGAACTTTTATGCGGTTTCATATAGAAACAGGTTGTAAATGTCGATAGATATAGATTACGAGATATCCTACAGATTCTAATTGACTTTCTCTAGAAATCTTAAAAGTACGGTTGCGACTAAGCCTATTACCCGTTTGCTCACTTTCCAATTAAGCACCACCTTGTCTGCACCCCACGTGTCGCCACTGGTCAGGACATAGACCACCGTTTCTTTGTGTCGAGCACCAGGCATCCTGTTCGATCGGTGACCTGTGCCACGCCGCATCTACTTCATGTATGTTCTTGCTAAAGTTAGATAGATAGATAGATAGATAGATAGATAGATAGATAGATAGATAGATAGATAGATAGATAGATAGATAGATAGATAGATAGATAGATAGATAGATAGACGGATAGATAGATAGATAGATAGATAGATAGATAGATAGATAGATAGATAGATAGATAGATGGATAGATAGATAGATAGATAGATAGATAGATAGATAGATAGACAGATAGATAGATAGACAGATAGATAGATAGATAGATAGATAGATAGATAGATAGATAGATAGATAGATAGATAGATAGATAGATAGATAGATAGATAGATAGCTTGCTGTTTCGACTTTTGTTTGTTTGTTTTTTCGCTTTGTTTTATAAAGGGGGGGGGGGGGAGCGGGCGTGTAAAACATTTTCAATCGAATATTTGCAAGTGTCTTTTTATTCTTTTATTTCAACATTGTGTTCTAGATGACATGACATGCACATGCATTGTCAGGACATAGACCACCGTTACATTGTGTCGTGCACCAGGCGTCCTGTTCGGAAGGTGACCTATGCCACGCCATCTGACCAACTTGTTGGACACTCTTACTGTGCACGCAGTACATCTGTCTGTGGCAGGCACATGCGCAGTACTTCTCACCACACGCTTCTCCCAACCTGCATTTATGGGTGCAGATGGCATCGGCGTCTGGAATATGTCTGTAGTTGGGCGTTGCCATACACACAAGGAGTTCTGGGTTTCCACACCGAAGTACTGGGTGCGAGTGCATCATGGACGTGAAGGAAGACATGTAGTGATTGGCTGCAGCCGCGGAGAAGATTGGTGACGTCATAGCGATGTTTTGAGGAAGTGATTGACTTGTGGGGAGCCATGGAAACAGGGAATTGTGTTTAATTGGATGTTTTTGAATGCGATTCGGCGGTATGCCTAGCGGGTTAGATGGGTGTGGGGCTCCTGGATGCTGAAATCCGGCATTCCCTTGCTGAGATGTTGCAAATGCCTGATGAAGCTGGTTATGCGCCAATGACTGATAGTTTCCTATATCTGAAGGATAAAGATTATGGGGGTTCGAACCTAAACCTAGTCCACCCCATCCGGAATTTAGATGAGCATTCAGCAGAAAGTGTTCTCCCCATGGTGAGTGAGCTTGTCCACCGTTTTGGAAATTAAATGTTTTTCTAGTATTCGTTCGTAATACGTCGTTTTCGGGATTGTTGGGGATGGAAGAATGCATGAGGCTGCCGCTATCACTATGTTCGTATTCCCCAGTGTTATCTCCAGCAGTTGCACGATCGTATGGTACGCTACCAGTGTCAACAGTTAGTTCTTCCTCGTAAGCACGCTGGTCATTTGTATAATCTCCTGTTTGGTGAAATGTTTCGTCGTTATACGGGTCATTAACTTGGTTGTTAGTTACTCCAGTATAATCTTTGCCTTCTACATAGTTATTTGTAAGGTCACCCTTATTTCCAGATATTGTACTGTGGGCGTCTCCATGAGCGTGTCCTTCGTGGTATTCGTTATTGTTAATAGGAGAAGAATTGCCCAAAGTTGGGTCCGATCCCTTTGACGAGTATGGGTCCTCGTTTTCGTAATTGTTTACATTGTTTGCATTTTCATAAGCATTATTCTGGGAATTGACTGAAGTCGGGGTATAATCAGAACCGGTTTCGGTTTGATCATAATCAGAACCGGTTCCTGTTTGACCATATTCAGAACCAGTTCCTGTTGGGTCATATTCAGACATGGTTTCGGTTTGGTCATATTCGGAACCTGTTCCGGTTTGGTCATAATCTGAACCCGTTCCAGTGCCTGTTCCTCTTCCAGTTTCAGTTCTTGGTAGCATTTGCTCGTTGTTAGTGCTATAGTGATCATCTGGTTCGTTCGAAGTAGGCTCTGGAGAAGGGATGTCATACTCGTCTCCATGGTCACTGTAATCTGGATTGTGTTTGCTTCCTCCATACTCGTCTTGAGTATTCGGATTTGTATTAGATGTGGCGTGATGATCATCCGGATAATGATCGTCTTCATAATGGTCGTGATTATCAACCTGATTGTCGGCAGGTTCTGGCCCAACAGAGCCACCGAAGTCCTTATTCAATTCCACGTACTCCGGTTCACTAACCGGATTATCCGTATATTCGTGATCCGTTTGATGAACAGGGGCTATATAGTCGTCATTGTGAGAGTTCACAGTTGGTTGATTGTAGTTATCGTTTCTGTTATCATTAGTGTTTAAATTGTAGTCATTTGCCTTGTTCTCATCTTTGAAAAAAGTGGGAATATTACTGTTGCCCGTAGTTTCATCAGAATATTCATTGCCGGTATCGTAGTCTTCATAATCGTCACCACCCCCATTTCGTCCATTATATTCATCTTTTATTTCATTAACTCTCCTGGCTAAATCTTTCAGTCCGTTCGTCAATTTTTGTTTGTTCTTCTGAGCTGCAATCTGTCTTAATCCATTTAGCAGTTTATTTCTATTAGCTTGGGCCTTTCGAGCATTATTATTTCTTCTACGTCCTTCATAATCATCATCATCGTCGTCGTCGTCATCATCGTCGTCATCATCACCTCTCCTACGTTGGTTCATTCTCCGATAGTTTTGTGAAATTGACGGGATGCTAAGCGCATTTCTCTGTCGACCATACCTAAATCCTTCATCGTCATCATCATCATCATCATCATCATCATCATCATCGTCATCATCATCTCCTCGAGACGACCTAGCATACCACTGCCTCGTGCTCACTGCTCTATTTCTTCCTCCATTTCTACCTTGACCTTGACTTCGAAGATTCCTTTGGCCTTGACCTCCCATCATTCCCATCAACATGGTGGCAAATCCAAACCCACCATCTTCGTCGTCATCTCCCCCAAAAGCCATCAAGTTTGGGAAGCCATGCTGAGCTGAAGACCCCCGACCTCCAATGTCATCATCGTCATCATCGAAGTCGCCGTAGAAATCTGTTTGGTCCGCCCAGCCAGCATTCTGTCTGTTGGCTCCGGATCTTTTGTTAACAATTATGGGAGACACGCCTGTACCGTGCATGCCGAACCTGTACACCTGCCATGGAGAAACCATCGAAACGTTTAGGTAACTGATCAGCCATTATATTGCAAACAGTTCTCTTTGTCTGTCTGTCTCTCTCTGTCTCTCTGTCTCTCTGTCTCTCTCTCTCTCTCTCTCTCTCTCTCTCTCTCTCTCTCTCTCTCTCTCTCTCTCCCTCTCTCTCTGTCTGTATGTCTGTCTGTCTCTCCGTCTCTCTCTCTCTTTGTTTCTGTCTCTGTCTCTGTCTCCCCTCCCTCCCCTCCCCTCTCTCTCTCTTTCTCTCTCTCTCTCTCTCTCTCTCTCTTTCTCTCTCTCTCTCTCTCTCTCTCTCCCTTTCGGTATCTCTCTCTCTCTCACTTTGTCTTCCTGTGCCCTCCCCCCTCCCTGACCCCCCCCCCCTAAAACACATATATAAACATTCACACTCTAATATGCTAACCCACAGGCCATGCGCGAAGGAAAGTGTCCAAAATTAGGGACACATGCTAATGTGTTGATCTTGCCGTCAATACTCTAAACGGATAATAAGTGTGCGGCAGGTGTGATCAGCTATTAAATTTTACTGTATTACGAGACGTTTTTCCTGGTCTACTTTGTAGTCATTGGTTGCTGTTACCATTACTGCAACTTAGGTGCTTTAAGCCATTAAAATTCGTGTTATAGTATTTTTCTTTTAAACAGTTCATTCAAACTTTTAAAATTTGACATCGTAATTTTGTTTCTTAATTCTCACGTATTACTCAGCACTATTTTCTTTTCTATTCTTTTTATTTTTCTTTTGTTTGCTATTTTTCTGTTCTTTTCTCTTTTGGAGGACGAATAACGATACAGGAATGTTTTCTTTTTAACGTCCCCATTCTCTCCCACGGACTAACCTGTAATTTATCAGCTAATGGTCCCTTGGACAGATTGTTGGGTTGCTCTGGGGAAGCTTCCGGGTCACTATAGTAACCAACTGTGACGTCAGCACAGTTCACGATATCTGTTTCCACGTTTCCGGCGGATCCAGGCTGGAAAACTTCACCTGAAAGTGGTGATTAACAGGGAAAATACAGACAAATGTTTTTAATCTGTACTTGTGAAAGATCTTTTGCTGTTCTTTTCCTTTTTAAAATTTTTTTTTTTTATTTTTTTTTTTTTACTGAAGATAGTATCTAAAAGCACGTTGAGTAATCTCTTCACTAACAATCTGTTAGGAAAAATAATAAATATTAAGTTAAAGCACAATAAAAGCAACCATAAAAAAATCCCCCGAGACAAGCACTCCGTTGTTGAAATAGCCATTACAACAAGAAGGATGGAAGCTAAAACAGAGAAAAAGATCACAATAGCATGTTATGAAATGCCAAAATAGACCCATCACAGGGCCAGCTTTACGAACTAAGTTCTGCAAATAAAAAAGACAGTAATTCAAAACACCTTTGAGTTCCTGCCAATGTTTTGTGGGAGAATAAGAATATGGTGTAACTTCTGTGTTTGTGAGAATGTATGATATGTATTAGTTAATGTGTCAGTGTTTATCACTATACGAATGTGTACGTTTGTTTGTCTTCGTATGTTTGTATGTGTTTGTGGTATGTGTGTGTGTTTGTAAGTGTGTATGTGTGTGTGTGTTAGTGTGTGTGTGTGTGCGTGTGTGTGTGAGAGAGAGAGAGAGAGAGAGAGAGAAAGAGAGAGAGAGAGAGAGAGAGAGAGAGAGAGAGAGAGAGAGAGAGAGAGAGAGAGTGTGTGTGTGTGTGTGTGTGCGCGCGCGCATGAGTAACAGAAACGGATAGAACCACAAACGTTGTTGTTGTTGTTTGTTGTTTTTTTTTGGGGGGGGGGCAGAGAGATAGAAAAATAAAGGAAAAGAGAGAGAAATAAAAATGAATGAAAGAGCAAGCGAACAAGAGACAGGGAGACAGAGAAAGAGAGAGAGATAGATAGATAGAGAGAGAGAGAGAGAGAGAGAGAGAGAGAGAGAGAGAGAGAGAAAGAGAGAGAGAGGAGAGAAAGAGAGAAAGAGGAGAGAGGGGAAGGGAGAGAGAGAGTGAGAAGGCGAGACAGATAGAGAAAGATAAGGGGGAGGGGGTGAGAGGGGTACCGAAAGAGAATGACTGAGTCAAAGAAAAAAATGATGGACCAAGGGATTGGGACTCAAGATTGTTATTATTATTATTATAATTGTTAGTAGTTGTAGTAGTAGTAGTAGGAGTAGTAGTATCATTATTACCATTATTTGTATTTTATTTTCATTATTGTTGCTTTTATTATTATAGTCATTATCATTGTTATTATTATCATTATTATTATCTATCCTTATTTATAATATTATCATTACAAAAACACCAAACTAACATTATAAGCGACTCACCTGTCCGGTAGTGCCACTGCACGACACAGTGAGAGCAGGTGATACCCCGAGGGAGGCGGACCACCATCTTGTACAGGCCGTGAGCTGATTGGCCGTGACCTTGCACTGTTAGTCTCCGGCCACGCCCATTCATAATCTGTGACAAGGAGAGAAGACACCAGTACATTTAACAAGGAAAAGAGCAAAGAAACACGCATAATTTAGTTTGAGTATACTACAAAAATATAAGAATTAAACAATGAAAGCATTTTATTCACTGTGGCCAGTTGGCTTAAAGGACAAATTTGACATTATAATAGAGATATTTTTCAAAGGATTAGACATGGAAAAGGTATATCCGTAGATCTCATAATGAAAATATGTTATACACAGTAGAGAGGACACGTCTATTCAGTTGGGGGGTGGGGGGGGGGTTTCGGTTTTTTTTAAGACGAAGAAGATGAGGATTATTTCGTGTCAGTGTAACATATGAACACGACATTATAATTGAAAATATTATGGATATCACAACTTTGTATCCTGTTGGCTAAGAATACCAGATAGTAAAATAACGGTAACATTTCAGAAGGAACAGACAAGGAAAAAGTTTAAGAAAGTCTGACACAAAACAAAAATGCTGTCTAAAGCGAAACGAAATACAGAGCAGCTTCTAACCACTCTCGGGTCGTTAGATGCTGAAGTGTCGGGTTGTAAGACCCAGTTTACAGCCGCTTGTTTAGGGGAGAAAGGGAACATGACCCCAGGGTCCTTTCAGCCTGCTCTAACCAGAAGCGGAAGAGTAATTAAAAAGGCAGGGTCAACGGGGGCAGAAGTGAGGGAAGCCAAGGAAAATTCAGAATGGAAATGGGGTAAGCGAAGAGTGTGTAATTGTGTCACGATGCGGTGGAAGCAGGCGCTCGTACATTTTGCTCATAAATGTAGTTGTTCGTATTTTTCTTAAAGCTTGCTTATTCATCTTGTTCTTTGATAAGAAGAAATACTCATCTCTCTTGAGTAGAGGTCGAGACATTTGCAATTGAAGGAGGTGGGGTCGCATGGTGTCAGAAGTAAAATTTCCGAGATTTCGGCTTTCAAAGTTTAGTGACTTCTAAGGCTTGAGTGTCCTTGGAAAACACCAAATTTACAAAAAAAATTGTTTTTTTGTGTGTTTTTTTTTTGTTGTTTTTTGTGTGTTTTTTTGTGTTTTTTTTGTTTTTTTTTGGGGGGGGGGGCTTTTTTTTACGTTTTTCAGTAAAATCCGTATAAAATGTAATTTTAGTGGACATAAAAGGTGTTGAGCACAGAAATACATTTTGGTAAGATTTGCCGAACCAATGGAACAATGTCCGATATCATGGTTTTGATGAGCGCCTGATTTCACCACGATGCCTCTCAATTATTTATTTTTATGTGCACCGTGCCACCATCAGAACTTCTATAAAGAAAACCAGTACAGTAACTGTAGTCTCAACAGTAAATAATCATTGCGAAATAAGTAGGCCTCTCTTGGACTTGCTGTTGTTTTTGTTTTGTTTTTGTTGGGGCTTTCTCAGCTGTTTCTGTCGTCGATAACGCTCTAGTGTTTGTGGTAGTTACAGTGCTGTTTGCTGTACTGCTAGGTGTTTGTGATCCTCGCTGTATTCTCGTCTTCGACGTTGTCAATCGTGTTATTGTCCTTCCATTTCCCTCAGGATTTAATGGTATACCTGCACTTTTACCTCATTCACCCTGATTGCGATATTAGGACCTCTCCCCCCTCCCCTCCTTCCCCCTTTCACCTATTTGCCGAAATAGAAGTTTATAATTGTCTTTAAGTTCTTCGTAAAAAAAGGGGAAGAAACAATAGAAATATAGAAAGTGATTATAAAAATGGGACCAAGGGAAGTACGTGGAGTGCAGGAAGAGAGCGCGGGAATGAGAGAGAAAGAGAGAGAGAGAGAGAGAGAGAGAGAGAGAGAGAGAGAGAGAGAGAGAGAGGTCACAGAAGATACCAGGTTTTATTGGGAGG